GTGCTTGGTTTTCTGCTCCTGCTTGCTCAGCAGGTTGTGATTTTTTGGTAGTCTGCAGAGGGCCCTGCAGAACCATGCAGGTCAGTGAAATACCTGTAAGCTTATGATACCTGGATTTGTGGAAATTTTACTTTTACAGTAATCAAGTCAATCAGGCGTTGGCTCTTCTACAAGCCAGAGTGGTTCTCAGCAGCTCTGAGGATTGCGGAGATCTGGAGAGATGTCAGCTGCTGTGGCGGGTCCCTTCTGGCTGTCCCTGGGTTTCCAAGGCCAGGCTTCTGGGTGACTTGCAGGGGCAGAGGTAGCTGGCTTTGTGATGGGAACCCTAGGCGGAAAGTTTCAAACCTTGCTCCTTTCCCTGGCCTTGCTTAAATGACAAGGTGTAACTAACCCACAGGACTGTTGGGTTTTTTTGATTCAGAAGTATCCTAGCTATCCCCTCTTCCCCCAAGTCCTCTCTGAGCAGCCTCTTGGTGTTTGGCTCTGCAAGGCAGTGCTGTGGCAGTGCTATGGGCCATCTCGGCTGATGGACAAACAGCCTTCGGAAATAACAGTGGGAGAGACTCGCATGCTGTCCTGCAGCCAGTGGATACCTGCATAGAGAGACCTAATTACTACTGCTTAAACAACATTTATCTGTCACCAGTCTCTTGATTTTATGTCTTCCTTCCTGTCAGGTAGGACATGCTATCTACATTGCTTTTAGAGTTGAAAGGTTTAGACAGCCAGCCTGCTTTTAGGGGTAGAAAAGGATCTGTAAAGTACAGCCCACAGCTGACAACCCCATGTTGCCACTGTCACACTGATTTATTTGCAGGAGGAAAAGAGGGGGAATGGCACCTCATGTTCAGAGGAAGCAGGGACCTTGCTTTTTTCCTTCCCATGCAACTGCTCAATTAAATTGGCGCAGCAGCTGCCAGGCCACTCCCTTGGGTTACCAACTTTCAGCTCTCCTGGCTGTTGCACCACCACTGTAAAGTTTAAGGGTGGAATTGTAGCTTCTGTGGAGCCCAGCTGATGTTTGTCCTAACCTTGTCAGAAAAACAGGTGCCTGAAGGCAAGGAAACGGGTGTTTCTAGATCTGTAGAAAGTGCGTAATTAACATGGAGATCAACCCTCCGTAGTCACGAGATCCTTGCAAATCTCCTGCCTCATGATTACATGTCTAGAGCAGAGCCCGAGCCAGGTGGTAACTGATGGACTGCTTCGGAGAGCAGCTGTCTTTGTGCTCATGTGAGTTGTCTGCGTCAATCTGGCGTGGAGCAAGAGCCCCTGTGCTTGTGCTGTGCTGACAGCTGAAGAGGTTTTGGCGCTGAGCGTTGAAGGGTAGCTGCTAAAGTCTTTTGTTTCTCTTGACAGGAAGCCCAGAATTCCCATGTCTACTGGGTAAGTGCCTTTTGTTTCACAAAGCAGCTAAAGGGAAGGAGTTTATTTGCTGTGGCATCATTGCTGTGTGATAAGCTCTGAGGGAGAGTAGCCCTTGCCTGGCAACTGTTTCCCAGTATTGGCAATGGGTTATCAACTGTTTGCAGCTGATTCCAGTTCTTGATAACAGTCTTTCTTCTGTCCAGTGGCGCTACTGCATTCGCCTGGAGAACCTTGACAGTGAAGTGGTACAACTCCGAGAGCGGCACTGGAGGATATTTAGCTTGTCTGGCACCTTGGAAACAGTCAGGGGCCGTGGCGTTGTAGGAAGGGTAGGTATCGTGTAGCTTCTCTTGGGAAGCGCAGCCCTTCGCTGGAGTCCTCTTGCTTGGATTGATTTGCCAGTAAATTGCTTAGCGGGCATTAAAAATCAATGGAATGGGAAACTGGCAATGAAAAAAAAATTACATGAGCTTTTAATCTGTTGTTAGTCTGCATGAATTGAAACTTCACACTGAGTATTAGAGAATGACCCTAAATGACTGGTAATGGGAAAACTGCAATAATACACAATTCTGGCACTACTCACTGGGCGAGCTGTTTGTTGTGTAATTGGTAGTGATGCTCAGGTGTGGACATCTCTGTTTTTCTTCTTGCTATATACATTTACTGTCGATGTCTGTCTGTGGAGAAACGTTAAGATCCGTTGCTGATGCAGAGTGGTCTCTTCTTGTCTTCTCAGGAGCCAGTTTTATCCAAAGAACAGCCGGCGTTTCAGTACAGCAGTCACGTCTCCCTGCAGGCATCCAGTGGTCACATGTGGTAAGAAGCACTTATTACTGCGGTAGTGGGTTAGATATAGGACCCCACAGCGCTGAGCTGGGATGCAGTTTGCAGTCTGGAGTTATGGCTGAAAGGTGGGTGGATGTGGACTGGACATATTTGATAGTTAAAATTTTCATGAGCTTCTTTATGGCAGTATCCCAGTTAGCGATATGATCTGTTGATTCTCTGCACCGAGAGAGGTTCCAGGCTAATTTATCCCCTTCCCCTGGTCTGTGCTAGACTGGATTTGAAAAGACATGCAGCAGTTCTATGTTACCTTCTGCTCTGTTCAGATTCTGTCCCTTTCAGTCCTTGATGCAAGAGGCAAGGCTTCATGCTGGTGTTTCCCTAGGCAGCAGGGATGCATGCACTGGTATCTTCTCTCTTTGGAGAGGATTGGGCTTTGATTCTGTCCCTGAGTGAAGCTATGCAGTTCTGTGTCCACAAGGAATTGGCACGTGGGGTTATTCCCACTTCAGGCCAGACAAGGCCTTCAGTGTAACCAGTGTTCAGGTCCCCTCTTCTGTAAGTGCAGTTAGGAAAGTGCTTAGCTGAGCTGTTCTTTCCCGTGCTGCAGGCTTAAAGCAGTTTCCCTCCGTTTTACATTTCGGCTGGGTTAGCTCATTTAGTGTCATCTCTGTGTGGACAAGAAATGCACAGCCACCTCTTGCCTTCTGTGTGACAGGTCTTTCTGGCTTGCATTTTTTAAGTAAATCTGTTTCAGAGTTAAGCTGCTTTGGAACTGCCTTTGAGTTGGGAAAAGGAAGAGGGCAGTTCTTTACCTATAGGATACACCCTTGTTTGCCACGTTAAGCATTTTGAATTGCCTGAGTGCATGCCCTGAGAAGTAAAACCAGCTTGTTTAGTAGGTTTTTTTTTTCTACCCTCTCTGCATGCATCCTGAAGAGAGAGAGAGAGAAATGGTTCTGCAGCTCAGAAGCTGCTCAGCTTGACTTCTGGTGTTCCATTGTGTCCTTTCTGTCATGAGAACCTGCTGGTTTATCTCCACGATCCTCTTGTCCATGTCACGTTCTGCAGTAGTCGTCTGTAATTCAGGGCAGTAAACAAATCCTTTGTACAAGGACAGGCAGACTGCGTTTTGAAATGCCCTTTGTGAAATGCAAAGCAGAAGCCAGTCCAAATTACATCTGTGAAGGGATTTCATATTGTCGCAGACTTCTTACCCAGTGGAGCTTCTGCCAAGAAATATGAATCTGAATTTACGTGTAATCAGTTTGTAAAAATAGCTCAGATGGTTCTGTCTCCTGTGGGGTGGGAGTTAGGTAAACAGTGCCACAGATGCATGGAGCATGCTTACCTCCTGGAGGCTCCAATCATGACATCTTTATTCAGGAAATGTATATTAGAGATGTGATGTAAACCGCCCAGGAGTCTTCCAATAAATGAGTCATCTTGGCAGGCAGATGTCCTTGCTGCTGAACTGATGTCCTTGCTGCTGGACCGGCCTTGCAAATGCAGCCCCAGAGTCCCTGTGCAGGATATGGAAGAGCTTGTGTCTTACCTTTTTGCTGGTGATTCCCAGCTTTGTTTTGTCCCGGGCCTCAGCGTGATCTCTGCCATTATTTTGCAGGGGTACTTTTCGATTTGAGAGGCCTGATGGCTCCCACTTTGATGTCCGAATCCCACCCTTTTCTCTGGAAAGCAACAAAGATGAGAAGACCCCCCCCTCCGGCCTTCACTGGTAGAGCAGACTGAGTGACGAGACCCACAGAGACCTGTGTGTGTTGTAGTCCTTTGCCTCCCCATTATGCTGCAGCCAAGAACACGGAGCTTTTAAACATTTTAGACCATTTTTGTTTTAACTGTCGTCTAACGGGGAGGCTTTTTTGAACTTTAACACTGGCTCTCTCAGGCTGCTTGTAAACATAAGCTGTGTTACAGTTAACCCTTCCCTTTGTGGCACCTGCTGGGGTTGGAGCTGGGGGACGTAGATCTGTGCTGCGTCAGAAGACTGGCCCCCTCGGCAGGCCTGGAGCCTTTCCAATATGTTGTGAATTCTCTGCAATGTGAGGTTTCTCTAATAAACTGGCCCTTCCAGTTGCAACCAGTCTTCCTTTATAAACCAAGGCCTAGGCTTTGCATCCAGCCTGCCCCGGCTTGTTGCTCCCCCCTCACCCATGTGCAAGGCCGTGCCAGCCCAGACTTCTTGCCGCTTCAGAAGACAACAGTGAGGAGCTCAGCTTTCCTGCAATGCAGCTACTTTCTGGGATTTAGCCAGCACAAGGTGGAGCAGCCAGTGAGCTCCACTCATCACACAGCTTGTCTGGGCTGTGCACTGGAGCGATGCGAAGCCTGTTTTGTCAGAGAAGAGAGCACAGAGTGGGGGGAAAGCGGGTCGGCAGGTGGTGCTGAGCAGGCTGCCACAGTGTCTTGTGTGCGTAGAGCACCAGGCTGTGTGTTGCGATTGTACAGGAGAGCTGAAGGTGGCCCTCCCCCTGCAATGGCTTGCCTCGCTGCAGGGATGTGTGTCCCAAATGCTGGAGGATACTTCCCCTGCTGATGCTGTGGCTGTAACCATATTTCCTTGGTAGTTTCTGCTTTGGCAGGAAGAGCTTGTTTTGACTTGCCATGCTGTCAACCACAGTGAGGTGGTGCTTGGTTTTCTGCTCCTGCTTGCTCAGCAGGTTGTGATTTTTTGGTAGTCTGCAGAGGGCCCTGCAGAACCATGCAGGTCAGTGAAATACCTGTAAGCTTATGATACCTGGATTTGTGGAAATTTTACTTTTACAGTAATCAAGTCAATCAGGCGTTGGCTCTTCTACAAGCCAGAGTGGTTCTCAGCAGCTCTGAGGATTGCGGAGATCTGGAGAGATGTCAGCTGCTGTGGCGGGTCCCTTCTGGCTGTCCCTGGGTTTCCAAGGCCAGGCTTCTGGGTGACTTGCAGGGGCAGAGGTAGCTGGCTTTGTGATGGGAACCCTAGGTGGAAAGTTTCAAACCTTGCTCCTTTCCCTGGCCTTGCTTAAATGACAAGGTGTAACTAACCCACAGGACTGTTGGGTTTTTTTGATTCAGAAGTATCCTAGCTATCCCCTCTTCCCCCAAGTCCTCTCTGAGCAGCCTCTTGGTGTTTGGCTCTGCAAGGCAGTGCTGTGGCAGTGCTATGGGCCATCTCGGCTGATGGACAAACAGCCTTCGGAAATAACAGTGGGAGAGACTCGCATGCTGTCCTGCAGCCAGTGGATACCTGCATAGAGAGACCTAATTACTACTGCTTAAACAACATTTATCTGTCACCAGTCTCTTGATTTTATGTCTTCCTTCCTGTCAGGTAGGACATGCTATCTACATTGCTTTTAGAGTTGAAAGGTTTAGACAGCCAGCCTGCTTTTAGGGGTAGAAAAGGATCTGTAAAGTACAGCCCACAGCTGACAACCCCATGTTGCCACTGTCACACTGATTTATTTGCAGGAGGAAAAGAGGGGGAATGGCACCTCATGTTCAGAGGAAGCAGGGACCTTGCTTTTTTCCTTCCCATGCAACTGCTCAATTAAATTGGCGCAGCAGCTGCCAGGCCACTCCCTTGGGTTACCAACTTTCAGCTCTCCTGGCTGTTGCACCACCACTGTAAAGTTTAACACTATTGCTCACCTGCCCCTGTTTCTGGGGTGCTGTGGACCTAGTGCTTCCAGTAACAAGCAGAGCGAGTTCAATTCCTAAGTGGCAGCGTGGTCCTGGGGGCAGAGGCCCTGTCAGTGCCAGCCAGAGCAGCTTTTGCAGCTGCAAGATGCCCGTGGCATGGCTGGTGTGACACCAGGGCAGGGTACAATTTTGGCTGGATAATGATTGGCAAGAACTGAGGTGACCAGTGCTGCCAGTAACAAGTGGGGCCGGGGCGAAGTGGCACAGGGTACATGGGGATGTTTCTGCTGGGTCAGTCTTTGTGGAGGGGTGCAGGGCTGGGCCTGACCGTGCTGAGGGGCCTGGGGCTCGGTGCGGCTGCTTCCTCAACTGCTGCTTCCCACAAGAGCGTTTCCAGAGCATGGGGAGCGTTTCCAGGGCGTGGGCGAGCCCTCTCCTCGCGGGCGGGCTGCTTTCCTCTCTTGTGTAAATACCTGTACAAAGAACTGATCAATAAAGCGCTGAAGGCACCGCAGTCGCTCCTGGCTCTCATTCGCCCCCG